CCCCCCCCCCCCCCCCCCCCCTCCCCGCCTGGCTGCATATTCGGTGTGTCGTGTTGACAGCCTAAGCTATTGTTGCCGAATATTTTAAAGAATGGATGTTCCCTCCTCCCCTGTGGGCCAGACTAGTGCAAGCCTCGCCACTCTTCATTTTACGTTCTTGTGTTGCGCTTCGGGGCAGGTGTCGGCGGGGAACGCTTGACCCCGCGCTTGGGGTTCCCGATGCCGTCCTGAGTCTCATCGAGGTGAACGCAGAAAAGAGCCAGCCATAGATAATTGCTTATGGTAGTGCAATACCCGGTTTTACGGGTGAATTTAGTGCAGACCTGCTAGATTCGGGACACCTCTCGAGTGAGAAAGACGTGGTTGTGTCGGGCGAACAACCCGAGCGGCACTACTTGCTGTGTAGCTTAGCGTACCTCACGGGATCCCAGATGCCCAAGTCGAAGAGATCATCCCTGACGGCAGCGGCCGGCGGCGAAGGCGTAGTATTGCTCCCGAGCCGCGTGGATATCGGTGACACGCACATACGCGAAACCGTTTCTCGTCGTCCTTTCGTGTGTCCCCGCCGCCCACACTCCCGCTTCCTCGTCTACACACGGCCGCACTGCCACCTGCAGGCGCTCTCGGAGGAAGGCTGCCGCAACAGTCCCGGCCTGTTCCTCCGCGAAGCCGACGAGACCGAGCTGGTTAAGGTCGTCAAGAGCCTCGACAAGGCTAACACCCTTCCGGGAAGAAGAGGTGGCGGTAGTAGCGGTTCTTCGGCCTCGTCCCCAGCGTGGCTGGTGTCGCGCCTAACGGGGGGCGGAGAGGGCACGGCGGAAGAGGAGAAGTCGGGGGGCAGGGGGGCGCTAGGCGTGTCTCCGCAAGCGGTGGCGACCGCGCTGGTGTACTTCCTGCACCGACTGCCTGAGCCGCTGTTGACGTTTCGGAGAAGAGAGGCGTTCTTGGCCTGCGAGGTAGGGGAGTGGAAAATGCGCGTGCAATTGTTCGCTAATGCTGTCAGCCGATGCTATTGTCGCGACAGGCTCGCTTCTCTTGCTACTGCTGTAGTGGCGATTGCTGCTGCTGGTGGTGGTGGCGGTGTGTTTCGTATGTGTTGCTGGTGTCCTGGACTGCTGCGACAATCGCTGAATGTTTCGAGTACTACTGGACGGAGTTTTCTGTCTGGGGCGGCGAGAATGTAGACGTGACACCCTATCCTCCACCTCCGCCTTCAACGTCGACAGTTTCGATAGTTTTCTTCCCACTCAAGTTCCCCCAAGTTGGTCAAAAACTACAACGTTTCCTTGATTTGCATGTGATGTGCCCCTTCCTGCCCCCCCTTTTCCGCCTTCCACGGCATTTGGAACTCCTTGCCTCAGGCGATCCCGGACCTAGACGCTCGAATCCGCAACGTCCAGCTCCTGGTAGAAGACTTGCCTTGGGCGCACCAGCCTTTGCTGCTAGCCCTCGCCAGTCTTTGTGGCACGATCGCACCACCGAAAAACTCGCTGCCGCTGCCGCCGCCGGGGAGGCGGCGGCCGGCCCCGAAAACCTCAAACGACATCAATTCCGCCGCGTTTCTGACGGAGGGCGTAACCATCGTCGACGAAACGGAACTTGAGGCGGCGGAGGAGATTGGAGTCGTCGGCGGCGTTGCGGTTCGGGATGCGGTGGAAGCTCTGGCACCGGCGCTGCTGCGCTATCCACCGCCGGCTGTCGGAGGGGGTGGGGAGGGTGCAGGTGCGGCGGCGGGGGCTGCGCGGAGACTGGACTGGGAAGAGGAGATCGCGGCTGCCGCGGTGGTGGAGCTGATATTTACCGAGCAGCGGCGCGTGCTGGCAGGCATGAGGGCGGAGCAGAAGCGTAGGTGAGAGGAAACACTTCGTAGATTGGCGGCTGAGTGTGTACAGCAGTGAGCGACAGCAGTAGGGTTTGTGACGAGTGTTGCCTAGATGCGTGGAAAAGGGTCTAGATGTTTGTGAGGGATGATGGGGAGGGAGAGAGGTACAGACGTTTATCGTGGTTCGAGGGGCCCGAACGGTGGGACACAGACGAGGGTATGCACGTCGGTGACAGAGATGGAATGTCCTTCTCGCCCCACCCTCCTCACACTTGTGTTGAGCGTCCAACTTGGTTGAGGGAAGGGGTTCAGCCTACCATGATAATGCCAATCGCTGTGTGACACCACTGCAAGTTGGTTGCGATTGACCTCCCTGCACGAGCTATTTAGTTCCATGGCATTCGAGAGACAAGTTCAGCGACGATTGTCGACGATTGTCTTGATGTGCACGAAGCTACTGCTTGCGAGTTTACCTATTATCGGCAGTCCCAGGAAAAATTGTGCCTTGCTCAATTCCCTGCCGACAAACCCTCCCTGAACTACCGCTGTTTCGCCTTTGGGTGATGGCGAACGAAAACCTGTCGGTGAGAAAGGGAGGAGAGGCTATCGCGCAAAGTGGAACGTCTGGAGCAGCTGCACAAGATGCTGGAGGCCTCCGTTTACCTCAAGCGCCCGGCACACCTGGCAATCGTGATCTCGATATGGCGCAGGTACAGACGATAAAACTAACCAACGAAGGGATTCGGAATGGCCATGCTTCAGAGAACCGTCAGATCCGCCGGTGGCGCCTGCCTCCCCGTGAAGCACAACATGGTGCAGTCGGCCTGCGTAGGCTTGCGTATTGTCCTTTTTGTTAATGTACCAGACTCAAAATACGCCTGTGGCATGCCTGAAATCGTTGAGAAGGGGCCGCAGTTTTTCTTCTTTTTTTTCGCCATCTCTCCTAAACGTTCACCCCGTGTGGTTGGTTGTTCGCCTAATTTATTGGCCGCCCCAGGTGGGCGTTGATAGAAAGCCCCCAAGGGGGTTTATGTCTGATAGCACTTGGTCGTTGGTGGTGCAGCTGTTGCGTGTCGCCGTTGTTGCTGTCACCGCTGTGCCGCTGTCGCCATCGCATCTTTGATCCTCACGCAGTTTTGCGCGAACGGTTACCTGTTGGTACTCTCGTTGTTCGTTGTTTCTCCCCCGCCCCCAACTAAACCACACACACACCGTCCGCACACCCCGCCGTTGCAACTCCCAGATTGGAGAGGGTAGAGCACGAAATGCTGCTAGAGGCTGCGGAACGGGGAGAGGATGCCGTCGGACTCGTACCCTTACCCGCTAGGGATGACGAAGACGGCGGCGGGCGTAACACGCGGCATGCCGCCGCGCCTGCAGCCGCGGGCGACGGGGGAACTCGCCACAGCAACAAGGCGCCGGCGGCCGTAGACGAAGACCGGGATGTCCGAGAGCTGGAGAGCATGCTCATGGGCCTCGAAGCGGAGGAAGAAGACTACGAGAATATTCCTTTCGCCGAGCTTACCGCGGACGGGGAGGCTGTGCTAGCCGAGGCAGCAGCCTCCGCCGACATGGAAGAGGAGGAGGAGGCGTGTTTTGTCGCGGCCGGCGAGGGTACGGAAAAGGGCGAGACAATGCCCGAGCCGCTGCCGGCCGCGAGAGGCGTCGGCGAGGGGAATCGAGGGAGCGAGGCTACAATGTCGGGGGCAAACGACGGCGTCGATCGCGGCGGCGGCGGCGGCGGCGGCGGCGGCGGCGGCGGCGGCGGCGGTAGCAGGAACACTTCGCCCGCCTTCACGATCGGCGAAGACGAGGATGAAGGCGATGCCGGGGGGCTCCAAGCTTCAACCACCGAGACGACAAGCCCCCCACCCGCCGCTTCTGCGTCCGACCTGAAGAGCACGCAGGCGTTACTCGGCTCCATCGCCGACACCCTCACCCCTGCCGCGGCCGCCGGAGATGGTGACTCCGAATCGGACTTGGGCCGCCCCCTGCTGGCGACGCGTTCCGAGCTTGCGCTGGTCGACCTAATGCAGGAGGCCGAGAAAGAGCCGGGGGTGCTAGCGGGGGCGGGGGAATCAAGGCCTCCGGGCCCCACGAGCGAAACTGCTCCCCGGAGCTCTGGCGGGGGTATCGGCGGCGCGGGGGGTGGGGGGGGGTCGGGACGGCACCGGAGTAGAGGAGGGCAGAGCGGCTTCGACGAGGTGCTTTCGGTGGGGTCCACCGCCTTAGGGTCGTCTGACGCCGCAGGGAAGGGAGGAGTCGGTAGCGGTAGCGGCGACAACCCTCGTCATCACGATGGCACGAAAGCAGGAGGAGGTGTCGGCGGGAGTGGCGCCGGTTCGACGGACGGGAGTTCGGCCGCCGAAATATCTCGAAAGGGTGCGGTGCAGCCGGCTGCGGCAGCGGCGAGCTATGCTGCCGGAGATGCTAAGGCCGCCGCCGCGGGCCCGTCGGAATCTTCGATAGCTGCTGCCGGCAACAGCGAGAGTGCTCCTCCGGCGGCGAGCCCGGTGTTTTCTCTGGGCCACGAGCGGTGGATAACCTGCGGGTTCACGTCCGCGCACACGGTGGGGAGGAGGGAGGAGGAGGAGGCGTCCGTGGGGCGGGCTCTTCGAGATGCCTCTAGCGTTCTCGCGCTGGACAGCATGAACTACTTCTTGGCCAGGTGAGAGCCCGACCCGCGTGGGAGAGCAATCGTATGAGTGGGCCATAGTCTGGTAACAATAAACTGGACAAATGTTTCATGCAAATATGAACTGGACTTTGCAGTCGCTGCTGCACTGAATTTTTTCATGGAAGGGGTTTTGATCCGTTGAACCATCACCATCATCATCATCGTTTTCTCCTTAACCCCCACCCACCCCGGCCGGCCTCTCTCTCTCTCTGTCTGTCTGTCTGTCTGTCTGTCTCTGTCTCTGTCTCTGTCTCTGTCTCTCTCTCTCTCAGGTATCCCCGCTCGGCGGCTAGGGCGGTCAAGTCTTGCGCCCGCCGACACGCCATGTCCAGGGGAGGCGGGGACTCTTGCCCGTTCCCGGTGCACGCCGGCGACATCACCCGCGTCATCGCGACCCTGCTGAGCCTCCAACAGCCTTCCCCCGCGTCCGGTGAGCCGGCTAGGGCGGACACCAAAAGCGGCGGCGGCGGCGCTGCTGCTGCGCCAGCGGAATCAGGAGACGCGCGCGCGCTTAGGCTGGCCGCGCTTCCGTCGTGGCGGTTGCTGGATTCCCCGAACGCCATTCAGGAAGCGTTTTCCTGCGGCGTGCTGGTGATGGAAAGGGCGCAGGCTGCGGGGGGGAGTGGCGGTGGCGGCGGCGGCGGCGGCGGCGGGCGGACCCATCACCACATGCGGGTGAGATGCGTCATCGTCGGGGGTGCATCGTGTTGGTTGAGCGATCACACGAGCGTTGAGAGTGTTGGGGATGCCTTGACCCGGGGATGATGCATGTTGTTTGAACGTACGTGACCTTTTGTTGTCTTGCTCTCGGCTTCTCGTGGTATGTATGCATTGGTACGCAGGGTTTGTTCTTTGGGCGGTTAGTTGCAGCGTAGAGCGTCGGGATGAAATCAGAGCGCCAATCGACTTCCAACGAGTGTTTGTCGGCCACGCGTGCTGCGGTACATCCTCACAACTCACGGAGCCCCCCCCCCCCCCCCCCCCCCCTCCC